ACCAAACATTTTTTTACTGTTTCAGATTTTGCATCATGACTAAAATGTGAAAAAATGTAACATCAAAGAATCAAAATAATACATATCAATATCTAGAAATTAAAATACATAATTAAAGCATAGTAATAAAGCTCAAGTGATTAAATTGTTAAAAAAATTATCGCATTGATGAGTTCATATTCTTTTAAGTTTCGTATTTCTAAATAAAATTTCCGGTTTTCTGCCACAATTAGCAGGTTTCTCTTAATTTGATAACTCACTTGATGAGTTTTTACGGATGTTTTCAAAAATACTTTATAATTTGTCATCAGTTTATAAGTAAGTAAAAGTATAAAACAGGATTTCCCAAAAAAGAATAATATAAAGTTTTAAATTTTTTACACAAACACCATTAATGTCTTTATATAAAAGCATATTTCTTGTCTTTACTAAAAGCTAACAAATTGATTAAATTCTGTAAAATTGATTTTTTTGTTTTTTTTTAGTTGCAATAAATTCTTTGTTAAGCTTAACTTCTGTGTTTTTTTTCCTTTTAAATATGTATTTAAGCGAACTTTATTTTTGACGCTACACTTGAAGTTGAGGATTAATGGCACCCCGAAATTATCTGTCGCCAGTCCTCAACGTTTGCCAAAAATATGACTCAAGTGTATGTTCTTTTAGCCCCGTGTGGCAATTTTAGACTTACGGCGATTTAAGCTGAACTATGTAAACACAGAAACTAAATATTTCCACCATTGAATCACGCCTAATGAATATTTATTTTATTTTTCTATATATACAACATGGAAGTTTATTTTTAAGTAAAATTATTAAAAAAAAATGTGCTAAAATTGCGTTTGTTTTCTTTAAGAAATTCCCCTTAAAAATATTTAAACTTTTTTTTTAAGAAATTGATAAATTAGTATTTTAAGGCATATTACTCATCAAATCGTTTAAGTAATTTTTAATCAAAATTGTGAAACATTATTATTTTTTACTATATAGATTTGCATCAATGATGTGCGAAGTGAGTTTGGAAATGGTTGGGTTTGATGATTTTAGTGAGTTTGGAAACTTTCGTTTATTTTCAAGAAAACGAAAAAAGCATTAAATACAATATTAAAAATACTGTATTCGTACTCATAAGATATTGTGCTGTTGAAATACATCTTTCGGATTTAAATTATGTTAAAAATTGAAATTAAGCATGTAAGTTACGATGAAAGAAATCTAGTTCTTTTAAAAAAAAATTGAGTAAAATGCCCTCCTCAAACAAAAAAAAATTATGTAAGAGACAGCTTACACCTCCAAATTTTTCTTTCGTAAGTAACTATAAAAACTTTTACATTATAAGTCACATCTGTTTAAACAGAGCTGCACAGCAAAAATGATTGGATTAGTAGTATATTAATTTATAAAGTATTTGATTTAATATGAGTTTTAAACTGACTTTCAAAGCCCCATTTCAAAAAATATTTAGTTTATTTTTTTCTGCATATTAGGAAAACCTTCAAACTTAATAGCGAAATAATTAGAAGGAAGGTAAAGAGATAGCTAACAAAAAATACTTTTTCATCAATTAATATCATATTTATTCTAAAAACGTAATAAAATCAGAATATGTATTCTCGAAAATGCATAAAACGCAATTTTGTAAAAACGTTACCGATTTGAGAAGAAAAAAAAAGATGGAATATTATCTGAGCCAGATTTTATTAGAGACTTTAACTAAAAGAAACTTGCAAAAAATCATCTAATTATAACAAATGTATGGATTTAAAACACATTTATGCACTTTATCTAACAGTACAAATGATTCTTAATAATATAAACAAGGGAATTTCCTTCGAAATTTTACTCAAGGTAGCATGATCATAGCCAGATTTTAAATAAGTGCATGATACGGTGTAATTTTCATCATTACTTTTATGAAATATATTCATATAAATTTTGCTTATTTCAGATTAAAAAAATATTATTTAAAAGCATTAAACTAAGTAGTGGTTAAAAAAATATGGTTAAAAAAATATGAATGAATATGAAAAAATATGAAATATGAAAAAAAAATATGGTTCTATATGGTTAAAAAAAATTCCAAAGCATTTTTGTAGTTTACAATACTGATAGAATTTATGATTACACTATCAGCTTATTATAGATATATAGTATTATATATTATAGATACATTTTATAGATTATAGATACATAGATATTTTATAAATGGATTCTATATAAGTCTGTAACTATTGTCTTACAGTTAGTGAGAATTACTTAAGAAAAATTAAATCTTTGTTTCAAAAGATAGCTGTTTTAAGTCATCGATATTTTGTGAGATTGATTATAGAACAGTATGATTGTTTATATTGTTTTATATATTATTTTGTATATAGTTGTTTTATATATTGTTGTTTTATATATTGTTGTTTTTATATATTGTTGTTTTATATCTTGCTTTTAGTATATATTGGTTTTAGTTAATTTTAATTCATTTTAGTTATTTTAAAAAACTAATAAATTTTAAAAATGATTAAAAATGCTTGTTTATCAAAACAGTTTCTTATGCTTCAAATTAAACTTTTTAAATAGTCTGAGTAATTAAAGTTCACATTTTAATTTTTTAAAAAGAAATTTAAAAAAAATGATTCAATCAGTTATTTCTGTTACATTATTTGTTATCATTAATTTGGTGCAAAATACGCTTCTTTCTTAAATAAGTAATCCATAAAACAACACAAATATCGTCTTTATCAATAAAAGTGAAGACCCGAATTAACTTCATATGCTATTAAAATTAATAAGACCTATTTAAATCGTTTTACTGAGAGCAAAAAAAAAAATTATGACATCTTGAATAACTTTTGTTCTAATGATCGAACTCTAATGAATTAAAAAGCAATCTTAATGGTTCAGAGGATCGGCTTCAAATAGGCTAATTAATTAGTTCTACCTATGAGATGAGTTTGAAAATATGACACAACAGCGTACTTTTTCTATATAAACGTAACTTTTTTGTGGGGAATTTAGATTTTTCACCATCAAAATACGGGGTTGGGTTAGCCGCAATCTGGAAGCTATGATCCTTATAATTTAGTATGGATAGCGGTCTTCAACAAAGGGTGTCAACATCACTTTTTTGTATATTTCGCTTTATCTCGAAAAACTCAAGATAATCAAAGGATTTTTGCACGCACTCGTAAAGACAATCCCTTGCAATAAAAATACTTTTTAATAGTAATTTATTATTGTTATTGCATTTTATAAAAGTCGAAAAGTGTTTCAGTAGTCATTAATTGTAAATAGCAAAATTAAAAATTGTAACGAAATCAATATAATAATTTTTGAGAAATGAAAATTTAAAAATACAGGTTTCTTAACATTTTATTATTCAGAAACTATTCTTCCGACTTTGCATAATTTTTTTTATCTTGTCACTTCAAAGTACCATAGTTTGGAATAACATAAATATTTGCATACCTTACATCAAGCATTTCTCGACTATTATTAAATAAAATAAAAATGAAAAAAAAATTACTAAACATCATTTTTATGGAATAACTTTTAGATAAACTATTCTTAAAAATAAATGCTAGTTTTTTTTTTGATTCATTTAAAAATTTTCCAAAATGTAGCGAAATGATTGCTTTTAAAAAAACATATCTGCCGTAATAAGATGAATAGTAATAATTTTAGACATTATTTGAAGAATATGTTATAAGACATTTTTAAAACTAACTTTTCAGAACAAAGGAAATGTTTAAGTTTCTCCATCAAGTCTCGGTCAGTTTTTACCTGTTTGTTCTTCTGCCAAATATTTAAACAACGCCGTTTGCTGTGGGAAAAGATGTTTTGTAAACAACTTCGTCATGTTTAAAAAAATTTACTTAAACATTTCTTGTAGCCATTCAACTCCTACAGTTACTTCAATTGCAATTTTAAATAATAAGCGAATACTAAATAGCAACATTTTCTTCCTCTCTGTGTAGAGTAAATAAAAATAATTGGTAAACAACAGTTGATCTTTGAGAGATTAAAAAAATCTCAGTAGTTGAGAATAAATTCGGTAATACTTAAAAGAATAATGCAACTGGAAAATCATCTGTCAAAAGGAGTAACGTCTTATACATTTTTTTTATATGCTACAAAATAATTATGAAGAAGGTTTTAAAAGAAATTATTTTTCTTTTAATGCGCATTGAAGAAAACTCTAAGGAGTCTTGTAAAAAAAAAGTGCGTTACAAAGGATTTAATGCACATCTACTCTAATATTGCTTAAAAAAGTAAAAGTAGTGATTAATTTATTCCATATCAAGCTATTTCTGTGAAGATCATAATTATTAGTTTTTACACCCTCTACGAATGACATTAAATTTTTAAAAAAACACGAAATGTATAAAATCTTCCAGTAGTTATTAATTTATAACATTTGTATAAAATAAAAAAACTGGGATGCCCTAGTTTATGAAAAATGTACTATATTTTTATTTTTTCATGCAGATTATCAGATTAGTTTACATAAATGAAACTACCTATTATTAATAATTAGCAAGCTACAATATAATAGAAAAATATGTACTATAGAAAAATATGTGTAATAATATCATTACAATCGTTTAACATTTACTAAGTTTATGTGCATCAAATTAAACTCTATGTATCAAATTAAAAATACGTATGCATGTACCAGAATAACTTGAGGACATTTCTTGCTTATAAAATGATTAGCTTCTTGTTTCAACGATTTTTGACTTCGAGATACTTTTATTTGAATAAACTTGAACATTTTAAAAAGCGTACCAGCTGACTTCTACAGCTAGTATTGAAATAGAATAATTCAATATATATAGTTATACATAAAATAAAAAGATCGCTGTACTATACTAACTCGAGACGAGAAACAATTGACGTTCAATTGGTTCGCTTTTTTGCTTTTTTCAATATGTTTGAAATTCTGTGATTTTTGTAAAGTCGAACCAAAATATTTAAGTACTATCATTCAAATGTATTAAAGGAAAACTTACCACGGTAAGAAATTGGTTTTTCGTCATTCTCAAACTATTCTTGAGAAATACCTAAAGCAATGTCTTCGACCTATAAATTCTCTATCCAAGTAATAAACTCCCACAAATAAATCAAAAAAAGCACAAATCCCGTCACAATTATAAAAAAAAAAATCACAATATTGAGATCATTGATAAATGGAGAGTCAGAAACGCATTCAGCAAATAAATAAGATGCGGTGTTGTGTCTACTAGAGGTAAAAGAAGAAGCTTGAAAAAAAATCCTGACTTCCTCGTCGGAGAGCGGAGCTGAGTTGGCAGTAAAACTTTAAGGTTTTCCAGTACGTGTTTTGTTTGGATACATTTAACTGCGCCAACTGTCATCAGAAAGTTGGGAAGAAAACTGCCGTAAATGCTTCTGTTTTGAGTAAAGAGAGAAAGAAAACACGTAGAAAATTAGAGAAAATGAGGTCTCTGTCAGCAATGAAGCTTCGGGGCATTAAATGTTTTAGCGTGAAATGAATCAGAAATTTTGTATTTGCTTTTCTTTTCCACCCTATTTAATATATTCAGCTTTCAATACCACTGTTCTGATAGCCCGGGGGGTTATTTCGAAAGTAACAGAATAACAAATAGTACTTGATGTTATCAAGCAAAAACAAGAGAAATTGAATCCTTAATTTATTAAATCAATTGAGTGGAGCTGCACTTATTGGGAAAAAAATTAGTTCTTTTGCGGATGAAAAACAAAACATAGTGCCCAATTCAGATACCTATCATACATAACTCTTATTTTATGTGTCAATTTTTTTATTAGAAATTTAAAATTTACGAACAAGAGGTGTACTTAAGGTACGGTTTCTCTCTTTTTTTTAGTAGTATCGTGAAAATGTAGAACGTTTTTAATAAAATAAATAAGAGAAAGCTTCTTGAGACAGCCATGGCTGACACTCGGCTGTAGTGTTGGTAGAAGAAGAAAGAAAGTTTTCACTTTCAATAAATAATGATGTAAAACAAGCTGATGAACTAGACATAAATCAATTTCTTTTGCATTAATGATTACGCCCTTAACCAGGCCAGGGGAAGCATAACTCTCATAACATTTTATAAATGTGGGGAAAAAACGATTCACATACAGTCAAAAAGAGAGGCCAACACTGGGTAGATATTTTCTCTTTTTTGTTATTTTAAGTTCATTTGTAATTATTGTTATAGTTCCTTTAGCTCGAACTAGAGCAGCACTATTGGCGACGGTCCGAGAAGCCTCCCTGAGGATGATCCGAAGACATGCCATCACAATTTTGGTCCTTTTCAGAGAGGATGGCTTCCTTGTTTCAGTAGCCCGACGACCTGCAAGCGAAGTCGAGCATTTTACTGTAGAACAGTTTAAGGAGGACCTATACCGCACACCCTCGGACCCTCGTCCAAAACACTGTAGTGATTGCAGCGCCATCTTTCGGTGATATAAATTAAGGTGAGAAAAACAAAACCACAAATGCATAGAACTGATTAATCAATTCTCATAAGAATATTTAAAGGGAATGTTAAATCAAGCTATGCTGAATGCGTTCAAAACAGTACAATGCGCAGTAGAGAGATTTTAAGTAGCAGACCATGTGCGTAATACGGACGTTTATCGATGAATGTTTGCCGATAATGCCGAACACAAAACTGTTTAGAACAAAAAAATATGAATAAATAGTGTAAAATCTTTAATAAAGAGCACATACCAAACTTGAAACTGTCAAGTTTCTCACATTTCGTGATTTCTCACATTATTTAATTTCATAATTTTGCTGTTTTTTTAATAAAGTTTTTTAGAGGTAATCGAAGCCGACCGGCCTGTGTAGGGGGCAGGGAACTGTCCTTGCATCAGAAAGGTCCTGGGTTCGAATCCCGGACAAGGCATGGATGTTTCTTTCTCTCTCTCTCTCTCTCTGTTCTATGTCCTTTCCCCTTTGTGTGTGAATGTGATCCGCCCTATAAACGGGTTGCGGTTGTGTGAATGAAGTGGCAGAAGTCGAATTCCTTGCCATAGATGGCGCCACTGAAAAACAGGAACAATCGCACCCCCACTGCCTAAACAGGCATAAGACAAAAAAAAAGAGGGGAAAAAAAGAGGTAATCGAAGAGTCATTACGCCTGACATTTGTGTAATATCTTGTCTGACATGAGTAAAGGAACGGTGCTATTATCTTCTACCATTGAAAATTATTCTACTTCATGATGGATTCTTTATGCATTCAGGATACATTCTTCTTAGCCTGACTTTACATTCACTATAAATGCTCTCATGTGCCTGTTATAGGTAGTCTGTGGTGCATTCTTCTTACCTTCCTTTACAACCCAGAATGATACTGCTGCTATCGCTGTTGTAACTCTGAACATGGGTTCAATATTCAATAGTTATTAAGGTTCAACGCTTATAATTTCATAAACATCATAAGGTTTCTTCAAATAAAATATGTTTTCTTAGATGCATTTATAGATGCAATTTCAAAACTATTTTTTTTCTCAAAATTTCGAATATATTGCTGAAAATAATAGTTGAAACTTGAAATAATAAAACAGTTATTTCTAATAAAATTTTAGAACAAAAATAAGTTATTTAATAGAAAAATAATTTATCTATGTTAAAGAAAGAAACAGTTTTGATTAATGTTCCATCACAATGTTACATTGTATCAAAAATATGAAATATTTAGGAATCCAAAAATATTTCCAATGAACTATAAATAAAATAAATACCTCGAAAGTATTGCGTGACGTGATATTTATGTCAATCTGTAACATAGTATACTTTCATTCATATTGATCTAGCGACATAAATTTTTATCATAACTATGCTGTCAAAACGAAACATAATAAACGACATCGATCGGTTATAACTCAAATATTAATGTCTTTTTAAAAAGTAACTGGCGGCTTTTAACTCAGAAATGTGTTAAGTCATTGGCAAAAGAATGTTTAAATTCTACAGCATAGTTCTACTTGAAATTCAGTTTATGTAAGATTTCTATTTTCAATCAATAAACTAAGAGAACATTTTAATATAATCTAAACATTATTCTGGTATAAGATAAAAAGACTTTTAGATTGAAACAACTGATTTAGAAAATGAATCTTTTGGAAAACTTTTAATCAGCTTGTTGGTAGGTAGGTAGCGCTACACAATGGGCTATTGGCGACATTCTGGGAAACATCCCTGAGGATGATCAGAAAACATGCCATCGCAATTTCGATCCTCTGCAGAGGGTATGGCTCACCTGCTTTGGTAGCCCGACGACTTGCGCGCGAAGTCGAGCACTTTGCGGTAGAACAGTTTAACGAGGACCTATACCGCACACCCTCGGACCCTACGTAGACTGATTCAAGTGATCAAAGTCAGCACACTAAGAGCAGCCAGTGATGCTTGACTTCGGTGATCGGATGGAAACCGTGTCTTAACGACCAGTCCACTGCAGGACTGGTCGTTAAGTATAATATTTTTTTTATTTTTTTATTTTAGTAGAGGCAGGCACTGAACTTTTGTTCTTCGCCTTAGATGCCGGAAGTGTTGCTCATTTATCGTTACCCAGTGGGCACCTGTGAACCAAAGTCACGGAGGCGAGCAACATTACCCACGACACACTGCAACAAATACCCGTTCATAGGATGGGCCACATTCATACACCAGAAGACAACAGAGAGAGAGAGAGAGAAACATCCATGCCCAGAGCTGGATTCGAACCCGCAGCCATTGGCTTCGCAGTCAGGCACGCTAACTGCTCGGCCACCTGGCCGGCACTTTGTATAATATTCACTTCTATTTCCTAAATTAATCGAATATTGAACATTTGGATTCTAAATTACCTTAAGCCTAGGTCATCTAAAATGCTTTCAAAGCATTAGGATTTTTAAAAACTAAAGTAACGAAACATTTACTTAGTAGAAACTAACATGTACTACCAGTTTTTTCCCATTGTTGTTTTTCATAAAAAGATCACTTTTTTAGTAAACTCTTTAATTAGAAAATGGATTGTTCAAGTTAGTTAGTAAAGCATTCCCACAACAGCCCGTTGTGGGCCTGTAGGATCATGGATTTTAAGGATCATGGAGGCTTCACAATTCTGTGATCAAAAGTATGCTGGAGCAAATATTGTCAGCATTGCTCACAATGCCGCCATTGCTACGCAAACACGCTGGTACAGAATTTAAAATCTGATGTAGAAGAAGACAGAAACTTTTCTGTTTTATAAAAAGAAAATTTTACGAAATATACAAACTAAACTAAGTTTTTAGAGGAAGATAGCAAATCAAAAGGAAGGCAACGAAGCAAATGGCACGCAGAGGTGTGTGGACGTCTGGGACAAACTCCTTGGTAATATGCCCTTGGAAAAAGCGAGTATAATCACTGAAAGAGACCAATGCAAAATTTTTTAAATAAAAAAAAATAAACACTCATTAAAAAAAAATGGATATTTTAATATAAATCTCAATCCAGACTTTTAATTCATTTTTTTATGTTAATTCAAGGGGAAATTAATCTATGGTTAAAAATTATTTCCAAACGCGATATTCCTCTTCAAAACTTTATTGCCCGAAAACTTCAATATTCAATTTATTTTGAAATTGAATTACTTTCGACATGAAATACTTTCCTTAATCCAAATATTTACCAGATATAAAGTTCAACTTCATGTAAAAAAGAACAATATTTTTTTTTTGCTCATATATTAAGATATAACGAATAAATTCATAGTTTTGAAATTGCAAACATCCTACTTACTACATTCTTTAAAAATTTTAGTTAATTTCAGCTATAAAAGGTTCCATAATTATTGGAAATTGAAGGGAAAAACGACTTGAAATGATGCCATGTATTGCTGAACATTTACTTTATAATTTACAATGAATCATAAAATAATTCGTTGTTCCTTTGGATTCGATTGCCATTTGTAAATATTTTTAAAACCATTTTTGTTTACATCGTCGCTGCTTAAACTTTTTTGCTATGATAAAATTTTAATGCTTTTAGAAATGTAATTTTACCTTAGGCGTCGATTGGATGCTCTTTTTGGCTAGATGCCGAGAATTGTAGCCAACTTGCAACCCTTCCCCGTCTGCATCTCACAGAAAAAAAAATATAAATGTTTATATATTCTTAATAACTTTCGAACTCTTTTCTACCTTTAACGACTTAAATTTCTGTTATTCATTGTTGACGCATACTCAGTGAGTTGCAATATGATGCAACCTTTATTTTACCTCCATGCTGGTTACAGTACTCATTAAAGCAACAATGCTGGTTTTTTTATCTCTAAATAATCGTAAATATAGTAGTTAGGAG